CTGCACCAATCCTCTTTGGACACGTGTCCTCCTGCACATGGGGTAGGCTGTCAGAGATGGTTATCGCTATCCACCACCGCCTTCTCGACACGTGTCCCCCTGCACATGGGGTAAATATTCTGCTGGAATTTTGTTAGAGGCTTCCTTCACGCGCCTATGACTAGGCCGAACATCGTGGTGTTAAGTCCTCGAAGTAATCGACCTGTTGAGGTCGAATAGGTTGCTCGATCGCGTATCTGGTCGAAGGATAGTTTGGTCGACGGCTTTGCTTGGTCGACTGGTTAACTGCTCGATTTCTTTGACTTCCTCATAATACGACCTCCTCGACCGGTCAATAGACCGGTTCAGCCTTGTGGGTATAATATCCCATATCATCTAGTCCCCCCCACTCTGGTCGAGTCTGAATGACTCGGTCTAAGAGTGAATTAGTATTTATCGTCCTTCTGGATGGCTCGTTGTCAGATATCGACCAGCTAGTAAGCTTCCCGCTCATTTTTTCGAATAATTTTCCATTAATCGCTAGAAATAAAGTTATCTGCTTTAAGTCCTTTCTGTCGCGCCCGTTTTCTGCCACGCGTCACATCTGTCATATGTGTCAGGCGCTTTAATTATTGCGCCTCCTCGCCTAACGCGTCCGTTTTGGGCTCCGTGCAAATTAATACTCCCCACCGTTGGATCTAACTTTAATCCGACGGCCCTTGTCTCTCCATCCTTCAATCTTCCAAAGTATAAATTCCATACTTAGCGTATTTTCCAACTTTTTTCCACCCTCACAGTTTCTGAATTATTCTGCACCCAGAATTCTCTCTGCAAAAAACCCTTGTTTTCTCAGCGATTCTCCTGCGCTCCTTCAAACTTCCATCAATTATCAACCCACGGTTATGAGTAAGTCTCTTCACGCTTGAATTAGTATTCTTTGTAGTTTTATTTTGTGTATTCTTGGATTTTCAATATTGAGTGCTCTTAATCTGCTTGCTGAATTGTTTCAAATTGGCTTGTCTTGTGTTGAATTTGTGCTTGGAATACTCTTGCTTGTCTATTGAATGTTGAGGATTTTACTTCTCCTTTGAAAATTTTTGAAATTTCCGCCCCTATACCTCCCGAATTCTTCTTTTGGTTTTTGGATCGCTCTCCCCTAAAACCCTAATCTTTCTTCTCCCCTCTTTCTTCCTTGCGGCGGCTTCTTTTTGTTATTGTTCTCTTTGTCTTTGTTTTGATTTTCTTTTCAGACTCTGAGACCTCCTCTGATTCAGTTGAAATACTACCCTCTGCGCTCGAAGCTGTCCCTCTCTCTATCCTTCGCCCCGGCGAGACAGTCCCTACTCGTGTTTTTACGGCCCGTGTCGCTTCTTCAAACTCTGGGGATACCATGGATAACGTTCCTCTCCGCCATCGTCGACCTCCTCTTGGCACGTTAGACGAGCCAGAGGAGGACGAGGTTATTTCTCCGCAGCCCACTGCTCCTCCTTCTTCGAGTTCTCCGCCCAAACGATCCTCGACTAAAAAGCTTTCCAAGCGCTCTTCTTCTACTTCTCTTTCTCACCCTTGGTTCAACCCTGACAAAATCGACCAACCTCTTGGTTGGGCGTTCCTCAGATCCTCTCCCTCTGACAAATTCGACCATCCTCCACAGGATTGTTACACTTTCTTCGAAATCCAGTTTAAACTTGGTCTTCGTTTCCCTCTAAGTCCTGATCTTCTTCAGATCTGCGAGTGGTTCGGGCTTCCTCTTCATCAACTTCCCCCTAACGCTATTCGTTTCATGACCACTTTCGTCATTCTTTGCCACGTCCGCCTTGGTCGATTCGATCTTGCCTTCTTCCATTACTGTTATGTCCATTCCAAACAAGGTCGAGGCCTGTACTTAAAGAGTCGTAATGGTGCTCATTTCATCAACGACGTCCCCTCCAATCTTCCTAAATGGATCGATCGATTTATTTTGTCCATCCCGCTGAGCCTTTCTCTTAGCCTTCCATTCCTTGGGTCAAGGAGGTTCCTCAGGAAGTTTCTGCCCCTCCTTCGAACCCCCTTTTTGAGCAACGACTCCATACTTGGAATTCTAAGACTGTTGCATCAGAAACGCTCCTCAAAGACGAGAAACTTCTCCACCATTGTGGTCTTCTCACCCACAAGACTTGTCCTCCTCCCACCAACGAGATCCTCGATCTCATTCGACTTGAAGATGATCCAGGTAGTAATCGAGCAGATTAGCTGAATGTTCGTGCGTTTCCTCATTTTTATTCCGAGTGATTATTACTGACCTCGAATGTGATCTATATTGTGATTTTTTCACAGAGGTGCCCAGTTTCAACATCCCTCCGAGGAAAACTCCTCTGAAAAAGAAATCGGGGGCTGTCGCTGGGTCGAGCGGCGACAAGGCGGATGGGTCGGTTAGCTCTGGTGGATCTCGACCAGAGCCGCCACAGCAATCGCCCCCGCGGCAGACTCCGCCGCCTCCTCCACCACCGCCCAAGGAGACACAACAGCGACCAGAGCAGCAGCCTCAAAAGCCGCAACAACAGCAACAACAACGTCCACTACAACCTCAGCCGCCGAAGCAGCCAGGGCAAACTTCCCAGAACCCTCAGCAAAAATCCATTTCTTCTTCAGCCGCCAAATCTTCGACCTCATCCAAGGTCGATGATCGTCAGAAGGTTGCCGACCGTCAACACAAATCTGACGACCGTCAAAAGACCACTGATCGTCAACACCAGGTCGACGATCGCTCGGAAAGAACTGACGACCGCCAAAGGATCGACAGCCGTCAGAAAACCGATCATCGAGCTCCCAATCCCAAAGGCTCCGCTTCTTCCAAAATCATGGACAAATCTTCCGAGCCCCACTCCTCATCCAAGACCCAAGCTTTAGAAAAGCCTCCTCTTGACCAACAATCCCTCAAGACCCAATCTACTGGCTCGACCAAGGCACTGGTCGAGTCCAGCAGTAAAGTTGATACCGGGCGCGAGACAGTGCTAGGTAAACAAGATCGCACCGATCAAGGTACGGTTGTCTGGAAGCGGGGGCGCGACAGTTATCTTCCTCCTGACCCCCTTGCCCCGAAGCCGACGTCCTTGGTGTCGGCGTCCGCGAATAAGGTGGTCGAGCGCCTCGAGGGTGTTCTCCTCGAGGACGATCGTAAAAAGCTTGGCCCCACACTGCCTGAATTTGGGGATCAATTCGTTCAGTGGACTGCCTAGGTATTGTTTTCCTCGCATTTTCCTGTCTTCTTTCCTATGCTTCACCTGTTACACAAGCTTTGAACTGTTCCCTCTTCACTGATTACAGGGCTTGGTCCAATTCTTGCCCACAGTGCGAGAGGCTCGCGACAGCTCCGGGAAGTCCTTGAAAAGCCTCGAGAGCACAATTAAGTTCTTGCAGGATAAGAACTCGACTCTTGTAAAGCATAATTCCAAGCTCCGCGAGACCCAAGTGGAGCAGAAGACTGAGTTCGACGTCAAGCTTTGATCCCTTGATGAAGAGCTCAACAATAAAAGCAAGGCTCTCGCGGAAAGAGACGCTACCCTCGCAGCTAAGGAGGCGGCAATAGCAGAAAAGGAAGCTGCGTTGAAGGAGAGGGAGAAGGCACTCGAGCAGGAGCGAGCTGCCCGGGTCGAGGCAGAAAAGACTCGAGCAGATTTAGAAGCGGCTCGAGCACAAGCAGAGGCTGCTCGAGCACAAGCAGAGGCTACTCGAGCAGAGTCAGATGCCACTTTAACGAAGCAAAGGGCTGCCCATGCTTACCAACTCAAGCGCTACGCTGATGCGGCGGCTCTCCGAGCTCGGCAAATGATGTGGGCGACCACCACGGGGCAACTTTTCCTTAAAGAATATCGCGCTCAAACGGTGGCCGATTTCGTGCAGTCGCCACAGTATCTGAAGGAGGTTCAAGATTTCGGGGTAGACTGTTTTCAGTTTGCCCTTCAGCAGGCGAGCAAATCGCTGAGGATGATTTCGAGCAACTCGATCCCTTGGCTATCTGGGACGCCTTACCCAAGGTTCCTCCTAGCTTCCATGGTGATCTATCCTTGCCACTCGAACATGAGTGGTGGTCTGGGTTGCTCGAAAGAACCTTGGCTCAATCAGATATACTCAAGAAGACATATGCCTTGCCCGATGGTCTTACTCCCCCTGCTCCTATGTTGGCCGCCTTAGCTGAGTCTATCCGGCAGCGTCCTCTCGATGATGCCTGCGATTCCACCTCTAGTATTACTCCTCCTGATCCAAACGTTAATTCGAGCAATGCCGACTCTGCCGCTACTCCGCCTCCATAGATTAGTTTGTGTTGTATTTTATTGTTTTCTTTTGATATCTGTGTATTTTGATGAACTTCGTGGTCTTTTCTTGAAATGGCAATGTTTTATTTGATCTCATTTCTAGTTTCAATAACGCTTGTGATGACTCGATCAGATGCATTTATGTAGCTCTTCCATGAGGTAATGGAGATAAA